ATATTGTATAATTTTTGTCTGTTTGTTTGACTCAGTAGTAAGCAAAATATTATTGTTTATCATTAGATAACCTAGTGGTATTTAGTGATAGATAATCTCACTTGTCCATCAATGCAATAAAAAGAAATTAAATGATAGACATTAAATGCAAAATCAAATTAATATCTAGAACAGAGACAAAACTAGAGAAATATAATAGAATAAAATGCGCGTATTCAAATTCAAGGTTAATTAACGATACAAAACAATCAATGAAGAATTCATGAGTTTATGTATATACAAGCTCTCTTTGGATAATAGTGGGTGAGAAATCCACCAATGGATATAAGAGTGAGACAAGCCCATATTAATTGAAGCTATCTTTGGATGCTCAGTAATATTTTGTTTATAACTGAGTCATACAACCAGCCAAAAATTATATAAAATTTATGTAAAATGATTACTTTATCCTCTGTTTTTTTGCAGGTTGTATGACTCGGTCGTAAGTATATGATTGCTCTTAGATGTTAAGTGGGAGGAAAGGCAACAAGATTTCTTGTAATAGTTGGGTATCCAAAGTGGGCTTGCAATTTGGATAACCCAAAAGTGAAATATGAGGAGCCTAAAGGAAAATCTACATCTCATCCATTTTAGTCTAATTGATAAGTGAAATCGGAGAAAAGCTACCCTATGTCTGTGGTACCAGTTCATATTTGTATGATTATATCTAGTTTATTTTAAAGAGAATATTACCCCCAACACCCTAAGTTATAGCTAAATTAATGTAAGCCCTGTAATTTCTAGGAAACCTAACCTAAACCCAAACTCAAACCCAAACCCTTTATCTTCTCATCCTCTCATCTCCAAAACCTAACCTATTCATCTTCTCCATCTCAATGTTTGATGTAAGCCTAATTTCAAATTAAATTTTAAATTTATCAAATATATAAAATTAAATTCCTAGTTTTTACAAAAAAAATCCCTCAAATACATCTAATAAATTATATAATGAATTATATATATATTATTTAATTGTATAAAGAACAAAATGAAGAAACTTTGTATATATTTTCATATATTTTATGAAATAAATATCATTTCTAAAATTTGTTTGTTAAATTAAACTATTTTCAATTGTTTTATGTTATATATATATTACAACCCACTATCACAGTCCCCCACTTAAATTGCAGATGCTCAGATAGAGAATTGAATTTGAGACCGTGTGCCTATCCACACTATCATCAATTCATTCTAACCATCTAGACTATCCACAGATGGGTCATATCAAAATATTGAAGTTAGGAAAAAAAATACAAATATCAAAAATATGTATTTTTATACATTATTTTAAGGGGTCGAAATATTAAAGTAAAATTACAACAAAAGTTATAATGTTTTCCTATAAATGCTAGATATATCTTTGAATATTTTATTAGTAGAAATTTTATTGTAGTTTAATTTGGAAGTGTTGTTATTTGTGTTGACTTAATAACTTGTTCATTAGTAAATTTTCTTGGTTTTGTTTTACACTCATTATAGTATTATAAATTTATTCCATATCGTCAAACACAATCATAAATATATTAATTATAAATAAATACTCATATTTTTGTATAACTTATATCCAATATATTATTTATTATAAGTTTATTTACAATTGTATTATTAAGTTTAATTATGTCTTGACTCCCCTAGAATGATCTGGCTACGTCCTTGAATAAATCTATTGGTTAACCATATTTTTTTTTTTTTTTTTAAATTTTAAAGAAACTTGATGGCACAAGAAAATTTATTAAAAAGAAGCAAAAATTAAGAACACATAATCACTGATTAAACGTATAGTTTTAACTCATTTGGTAGTAATTATATATATAACCTTAATTTCTTTAAAAAAAAAAAAAAAGAGTCAAATCATCACTTGAAGTTTCTAATTGATTAAACTATAGTAATTAAATTATTATTATTCGATAATAATTGAACGTTCTGAAAGTATGAATTATGAAAAAAAGGATGCATTGGTCATATGAAAAAAAAAAAAAAAGGGTGCGTTGAAATTATATATGAATTATAATGAGATTCCTTGCCAAATTATAAATGTTTCCTTATATATGGGAATGATCCAATCACTCTATGAAAAGGCTAATAAATATATTTTATAGACATAGTTAGCCTTTCATTCAAAGTCAAAAATATCTAGTCAGAATTTCATTAGATAAGGCTTAAATGCTTAATGGCTAATGCTTGTTCAAAAATGGTGCAAGGAACTGAAACTTATCAACATTTATATATAGGCAAGGCAAGACTCTTAAATTATTCTAGAATTCTATCATTTGATCAGTCTGAGAGAAAAGTTCATTCTCTTACCTTGAACCTTGATTTTTTTATTATTATTATTATTTATATATGCATATTTAGTTTTAAAATTCATCAAAAACCCTCTTTTTGACATTATAAAACTCGATCAATCACCATAAAACCCTAAACTTCTTGTAGATTTTCATTAATTTATCGAAATTGTTATTGTTTTGTTGGTTGAGGTTTTTATCTTGTCATTTATTCCAACAAGTGGCAAAAAAATTATGAAATAAAATCATACCGATACGAAGAAAATTGATCTATGATATTGTATAATTCATATATATAATAATCCAATGAATTTATATAGCATAGATATTTATTTTAAATTTTTGAAAGAATATACAGTTAAACTTCGATAAATTAATAACTTCGATTAAATAATATTTTTGGCTGATCCCAACTTGGGACCAATGTGATAAATTAATAATTCGTTAAATTTATAAGATAATATATTAAAAAAAAAAAAAACACACACACACATAAGTGCCACTTGATATATAAAGTTATAATATCTTTATACATCAAAATTATATATGTACATGACTCAATAAAGTCTTTTTGGACATTTTCTCTAACTTTTCTTAGTGCATTAAGAAGCTCCAGTATAATGTTCTCATATTTTAAGAGAAAATTATGTAATGTGATTGTTGCTTTGAGTGTATCTTTGCACGAGATAGGCTCCAATACAAAACTATTGTCTTCAACTTCATATTCTTTGTCTTTTCCCATGATGTTCTCAATAAAGAATGTGTCGATAAATTAATAATTTATTAGTTTATACGGTTAAATAATATATAGATTGATTAATAAATTTTCATAGTTCTAAAGATATTAATTTATCGAGGTTTAACTGTATATTAATTCTTAAAATAAATCAATGAGAGAGAAAATAATGTACATAAAATAAAAATTTACTAATTTGTTCTATAAATAACGTAGGCTACGTTTGTTTCAGTTTTGGGAATACTACTTTTAATATTCCCAAAAAAGTTAAACAATAAAATATCCAAAAACTCAGATTTTTTGGAATACTACCCCCAATATTATTCAACTTTTTTTAAACCCCTTAAATTTGATAATTTAATTAAATACCCCTAAATATTTTTTTTAAAATTACAAAAACACCCCAATAATCCACATTTATCAGATTCCGGCCACCACCACCGGAAAATGGCTGGAATCTGGTAGGATGGTGCACTACCGGCTGAATCTGACAGGTGGTGCATCGATCTAGCCTTTTCCGACCAGATCTAAGGCCAAAGATCTGGCCGTTGACGGCCAGATCTTTGGCCGTAACAGTCGGTCACGACGCCCAAACAAACGGTCGTCGTTAACCATCAACGACGACCGTTTGTTGGCCATCGTTGAGAGCATCTACGGCCAGATCTGGCGGTTGACGGCCAGATCTGGCAGTAGATCTGGCAGTAGATCTGGCCTTTTCCGGCCAGATCCACCATGGATCTGGCCAGAAAAGGCCATATCGGCGCATGACCTGTAAGATCCAGCCGGTCATGCGCCCATAAGACGATTCCGGCCACCTCCGGTGGTGGTGGCCGACTGGGGGTGTTTGAGGGTGGATTAGGGGTATTTTTGTTAACTTTTAATATTTTATTATAGGGGGTATTTTGTAAAAAAACAAATATATGGGATATTTTATTAATTTATAAATTCTCCATCGTAATACCCGCCCAATTCAACTTTTTTTTAACTTTTTTCAAAAAAAATTTCCCAAAACCCCCAAATTTTGAACCAAACGGAGCCGTAATCTAGCTTTTTTCAATACGATAGTATATTTCTATTTCCAGATTTGTCTGGAATGATGAGACTATTGACAATGTCAATATAATAAAAAGATGAGATAATCAAAAACTGATAATGTAATGAACTTAGATGACAATACGCAAGTGTATGTCTCTCTTGTGTTCATAATCGAATAAAGGAAGACTAATTTGTCTAAGAAATTGGCCACACCTAAGTCTTCAAAAGCATGATGTACTCCCCCTCCCACATATATGGGCACATATTAGCAGAACTTTTTATCCTTCTCTCTTTTTCCTTTCACTTCTCTTTTCTATTCAAAGGTTATCAATTAATCGAAATTTCTGAGGTGCGGATGTTCCGATCTTTCTCAAATCTGGACACCCATTTGTTACTGCAGAAATATACTAAAAAACAATATTTTCACCAATTATCTGGCATAGGAGTGTAAAAATTAAAAATTAAAAAAAAAAATTGACCTTGTAATGTTTTCATACCATAAAAAAAGATGTTCAAATCTTAATACAAAAATAGGACATCTGCAGAAGAGAATGACTCATCACTCATTACCCAAATCCTTAACTAAATGAAAAGAATTATATATACCAAGAAACATGGTATAAAATGATGGGATTGATGCTTTGGACCGACTACGGCATAAAATGTTCAATCAGAATATAACAAGATAAAGACGTCCACTTAACTTTTTGAAATTTCCAATATCTGCTACAATTTTTTTTTTTTTTTAAAAAGACCTATAAGAAATTAAAAAAAGCAGATTCTATTATTGATTTCAATATTAAGGTATAGCATAAAAAAATCAATATAAATAGAGTTCCCATATAGTCTTTGAAATTCACATATCAACCAACAATATTTCACTTGAATATTCTAACTATATAATGGATAGAGAGGCTCAGGAAAATCCTTCCAAGGACAATGCTGAAATTGCTTCCAGAGATCCTCTTGTTGTTGGGCGAGTTGTGGGAGATGTTCTTGACAACTTCACTAAGTCTATTGCTCTCACTGTTAGCTATGGCCACAAGTTGAGAGTTCACAATGGTGTTGAATACAAGCCCTCTCAAGTTACCAAACAACCTAAGATTTCTATTGGTGGAAGTGATTTCAGGAACTTCTACACTTTGGTAAGCCTCGACAACACTCTTTTCGAGTTTTCAACACTTTTCTTTAATCTTATATTCTTAATAATGACGTTCTCAACTAATGCCTTTAAAACATACAATTGTACTCCGACGTATGTTTCTGCGTTGCAGTTCATTTCTCCTAACCAGGTATTCCGACATTTTGTCAGCATGCTACTTAACACCATAAAATCTTTACAATGAAATAATTCTTGTGTATTTCAACGTATTATTTACCTCAGAAGAGACAAGTTTTTTAATAGTTTAAATAGGACATACTATCAAAAATTTTAATTATTTTAATTATGGTGATGCACATGTTTTGTAACGCATAAAAAAATTTAGTTTATTTTAAGTCAAAACGACCAATATTTTATTTTTCGGTGCCATGAATTATTAACCCAGCACCATCGTAGGTCATGGTGGACCCTGATGCACCCAGTCCAAGTGACCCCAGCCTTAAAGAGTACTTGCATTGGTACATATCTTTTCATAACTTTTATTTTTTTTCTGAGACTATATATATATATGTATATATATGAATTTACAATTTCCTGACTTTGAAAAAATTATGAATTGTTGTTAGGTTGGTGACTGATATTCCAGAAACTACAGGAGCAACTTATGGTGAGTTGATTTTAGTGTGTTTGAGCTTTCTTTAATTGTTAATTACAATCAATTTATTATTTAATTTGCCAATGCAAAGTGATGAATGAGTCACCTAGCAAATGACATATTTGATTTGGATGTGTTCTGACTTGATTCTGCAAGAACTACTTGTCATTTCAATACTTAGGAAAAAGCAAAAGCTAATTTGCATGGACCACCATAACTTGTCAATAATCCCATGTCTAAAGGTTCTTTTTTAATTTTCAAAATTTACAAATTTACAATCCTAAATATTAAAGGGTGCATTTAGTTTATTATTTTGGGTAGGATTTTGGAGATAGTATTGGATAGTTGAATAGGGGAGCATTACGAGATAAAATTTAAAAATTTATGAAAAAGGCCCCAAGGTTTGCTAATTTAATAAACACCCCAATATATTAAAATATTATAAAATAACAAAAACACCCCTAACACCCACCAGATTCCGGCCACCACCGTTGGAATCTGGCCGGAAAATTGGATAACCACAAAATCCAGTCGGATCTGGTGGGTATTCGATCGATATGGCCTTTTCCAGCCATATCCACCACGGATCTTGTCGGAAAATGCCAGATCTAAGGCCGGATGTGGCCTTCGATGGGTGGAAAAGGCCAACTTTGGTAGTCAGCGACGGCCAAAGATATGGCCATCGTTGTCTGTCAACGATGGCCAAGATTTGACCGTCGTTGACAGTTAACGCTGACCATTTTTTTGGCAATCGCTGACGGCCAGATCTGTGAATCTGGCCGGAAAAGGCCAGATCTGACCATTACCGGTCATTTTCGGTGGTCTTGTGACTGTTGTGACAGATTCCGGCTACCACCGGTGGTGGTTGCCGGAATCTGGCAAGTATTGTGGGTGGGGGTGTTTCTGTTAGTTTTTAAACTTTTTTATGGGGGGTATTTAATGAGATTAATAAACTTATGGGGCCTAAAAGTAATTAAAAAATATACTAATATTTTGGGAATAACGTGCCAAACAACATTTGAAGAATAGGATTGGAAATATGGATAAAAACAGTAAGCCAAACGCACCATTTAGTTTTTAGGTGAAATAGTTTCCTTTCATGGATATATTCTAGTTCTGGTGTCTCAACTCAAGGATTCTTAATGTAAAATAATACTAAAGCTTTTAGGTGAAACAGTTTCTTTTTCATCCTATAAAAGACCAATATCACAGAACTAAGTTGCTGAGAATTGCATTTTATAATTTCGTTTTAGGTTAAATAGTTTTTTCTCCATCGATATTTTCTTATTTCGGTGCCTCCACTCGACAATTCTCAAAGTAAAATATTAAAGCTTTAAGGTAAAAAAAAAAAAAAAAAAAACTTTTTTCTTCGTCAATATTTGTTCCGTAGTCTCAACTCGACGATTCTTGACCTAGATACTAATGATTGAATAATTATTGTATATTGTTGTAGGCGAAGAGGTTGTTTCTTATGAGAGCCCAAAACCAACAGTGGGGATTCATAGGTTTGTTTTTGTGCTGTTTCGGCAACAGGGAAAACAAATTGTGTATGCACCAGGGTGGCGCCAGAACTTCATAACCAGAGACTTTGCAGAGCTTTACAATCTTGGATCCCCAGTGGCTGCTGTTTTTTTCAATTGCCAGAAGGAGACTAAGAGCTCATCATCAAGCTCAAAAAAACGCTAATTATATATATATATTCGATGCATGTATGTTAACTTATATGTATATATGTATATACGTAAGGTAGCATCAAGCGTTGCTACTATGCTCGACGTATACTATCTAGCTTCATCTCTCTCTCTCATTATCAAATTATAATTATAGGTGATAAACTTCAACGTATGAGAAGTGAATGTATTACGTTTTGACTTATCAATAAAAGAGATGGAAGTATTATATATGATTTGGTTTAATCTTTAATTTTGTATGAGTTTCATTTATAGATGTATAGAAATTCTCAAGCGTGAACCGTACAAATTAATAGCTTAATAATATTTTTTAGCTTTGATTTTGCATTTTGTTAAGCTGGAAATGTTCTTCAACTTTTAGTCTAAACTTTTTTTAATGTACAGACGTCTACATATACTAATATATGAAACTAATACTATTAGGTGAAGGACTTATTTGTCATAAAGTATTATTATGATGTTATTGTATCATCAAGCAGTATCCTCAGTCTTCTCTATTCAAGCATCCAGACAGCCAACAAAATCATCTAGACAGCCATTAAAATCTAAATCAGAGTATCCCACTACTTCAAGATTTTCCATCCTTCTATATACAAGCATGAAGTCTTTCATCCTCTGCGGGTATCTCATAACTTTCTTGAATGCAACCCAGATTTGAAAGATAACGACCAAGGACATTTACAGCAAAGGCTATGTATGGTCTTATGCATACTTGTGCATACATGAAGCTCCCAATGGCACTAGCATAAGGAATATTCTACATAGAAGCCCTTTCCATGTCACTCTAAGGATAGGGGTGTAAGCTGAACCGCTCGCAAGTGACTCGGGCTCAGCTCGATAAAAACTTGAACGGCTTGGCTCCACAAGCGAGCCAAGTTCGAACAATCAATGATAGGCTCGACAAGCTCACGAGCTTTAGGGAGCATGAGGGTGTATTTGATATTTTTGAAACTAATAGGGGTTTATATTAATTTTCCTATTTTTAAAATGAGAAACACACCCCTACCGACAAGGGGTGAGCAGTTTCAGGTACTCTGCATTTTTTGAAGGAACCAGAACCATCAGTTCCTAAGATTTGGAACCGAAACCAGAACCGACCGATTTCGATTCCTAGAAACCTTAAACCAAAACCTGAAACATAGGTTCCGATTCTAGTTCCAGTTCTAGTTACCCATGTTAATTTTAATTACCCCTACTTTTTAGAAAATGACAAATACACCCCCAACAGTTTACAAAAATTATAATTCAGTCTCAGTTCCTACCCAGGTACCCGGACCTCGGTTCCAGTTTCGATTCCCCATTCCAGCACTGTAGGAACCGGAACTAGACTCAGGAATTCCTGATTTCAATTTTCCAAAACCGGAATCAATGGATGGTACCCACCGATTTCGGTTTTACCCTTCGCCCATGCTCACTCCTACTATTGACACTTACAGGTTTCAGATCTAACAATGACACTGCTACATAATTTAGGTGTCAGGCGGCTGATTTCAGACTTTAGGGCTTAGGCTACCTCGATCACAAGAAGATGAGAAAGAGAAGGAAAAAAAAAAAAAGATAAAGAAAAAAAAGAAGAAATAGAAGAGAAAAAAATATATAGAAGAGGAGAAAGAGAAGAAGAGAGAAAAAAAGATGAAGAAGAATGAAAAGAAAAAAGAAAGAAAGAGAATTGCCCAATACACTTCATTATAATAATCTAGGTTGATAACTAGTGTGGGCTTAGGCCTATAATGGGCTTAAAGGCTTATTGGGCCTTTAATAGAAGAGCCCAATAAACTATTATTAAAATTGGCTAGGTCCTCTTTCCAAACAAATATAGAACAACTTAATTCATTCATAAGTCGTCATACAAAACGCGTTATTGGAAAGGAAGACATGTCACTCTCTGTCACTTTTATCATGATTTCAAGAAATGACTATAATGACACAAACAAGTTTGTCTACAATCCTTGATTGTTAATTCAGTATTTTATAACCTATACGTTGATTTTAGGATTTTGAAATTGATTATTGTTCATAATTGATTGTGATTTCAATTTTGAAAATTTTCTTAACATGTGGTATCAGAGCGTAGGCGTATTAGGTTGTAAAATCTAAATTGTGAAATGAAAATTAGGGTTTGATAATCCTGAATTAGGGTTTAATTGCAAAATTCTTGTTAAAATCGGGGAATTTCAAATTAATAATTCCAATTTGGGGTTTTCGAATTGAAACACATTATTGCATAATTAAGAGATATAGTATTCGATTTTATTGTTTTTGGCACGAACATATCTCATTTGCTATCGATGGGGTGACTCTCCTCTTGCTGCACTCGCGGAACCATTCCATGCGGCAATGTGGCTTCGATCGTCATGGTGTGAGCAAATGGCTCATGCAATTAAACCAAAATTGTCTTTTCCGACTGTTAGAGAGACCTTATCCAGCCATTAGAGAAAAGGAATGGCTGAATTTTAGTTTCTGGTGTCACAGAATTGCGACACTTAGAGTTTTCAAATCACAAGGGTAAAACTACCATGTTTCAATTATTAGGTGCTAAATCGTAATATTACAAATATTGAATTGGGAAAATGAATTTTATTATAAAACCAGTCTGAACTAGTGAAATCCGATCAAGAATTGGTCAAACCAAGTCAACATAGGTTTTTCCAACCTAGAAACTTGACCCATGATTCTAACCCGACCCTTTTCGAGTTAGACCAGGTTAAACCCAATCAATGGGTCAAATCGACCCGGTCAAATGGGGTTAACCTAACCAAATATGATCAAATCGGGTCAACTCAAACAGGTCAAAATAGGTCAACCCGACACATGGATCCACACGTATGTGAAGGAGTGTGACGGTATGTGTGGCACGTGGAGGTCGTTTATATTCCGCTTTTGTAATTTTGGTACTTTTCACTACATTTGTTTTAAATTTATACTCTTAATTTTGTCATTTGTGTCATGTATGCACATAGAGTATAGTTTCTAGGGAAAGAGTATCGTTTACTGGGTTACAATACAACAATTATTGATTTAAGATTGTTAAAGATAATAAAGTGTGTATCTCATTAAATCTTAATTTAGGCAATATTATTTAGTATCATTAGAATAATTTTGTGAGTTGTCAGGATTTTTAATTGCCAAACGTTGTGTATTCATTGAAGCTTGCAAAAATTTTCATTTGGTAAATGATACATTCTTCGGTTTTGATGCAGTAATTTCCTACCCAAAGGTGGTTATTATTTGTGTTAAGATTGATGGTGACATAAGGTTAACTCAGGAAATACATTAGTCCTGAAAATTCAATACACTCAAAAGTGATTTTTTTTTCAATTGACATGTATTTTCCTATAAAGTGGAGGATGAACAATGGCCTAGAAGGGTTATCTACCCAAAGGAGATAGTTTTTTTCTAGAATGTCATATGTTCACATTTATTACCATGACCTTGTGTTTGGGATCTTAATAGCTTGTCATTTTCTTTACCTAAAGAGGAATTAATGGTGATCCACTTAGTATCCCTATGCGAAGTAGCTTATGACGTTTAAAGCTATTTTGATTATTTATTGCCTATAATATTGATCTGTTGCATTGTTTTGATTCAAACATTCTCCATTATAGTGAATAATAATAATGTTACAATTGAGGTCCTAGCTGGTAGTAACTATAAGAGGTGGAAACAAGATATTGATTTTGCCTTTGGTATTGCAGACATTGATATGTCCTTGGAAGTGAATGAACCACCTAAGCCCACTGAAGGAAGTAGTGCTGCAGAAAAGGATTTGTATGCCAAGTGGGAAAAGTCAAACAGGCTAAGTTTGCTTGCAATGAAGAAAACCATTGCTAACTATCTCATGAGTGGTTTGCCTGAGACCACTAATGTTAAGGAATTTCTCACTATTGTTGGTCAAAGGTTTTAGGTCTCTAATACTGCTGAAGCTACTCACCTGATGAGTGAAATGATTAGAGCTAGATATGACAGTTCCAAGGGAATGAGAGAGTACATTATGAGGATAGTTGATATTTAGTCGAACTTGAAAAGTCATCAGATCCCAATCAATGATAACTTCGTTGTTTATCATACTTTAAACTCTTTACCTACATATTTCAAGCAGAGCAAGACAACCTACATTGCCTAGAGTCATACTTTACATGTTAATTATTTAATTTCCAAGTTTGTGGCTAAAAAGGAAAAGTTGAAGAAGGAAATATCTGAAACTGCTAATCTGGTTGCACAGTCTAAGACCCACAGTAAGGGAAAGTAGAAGAACAAGAAGTCTAAGTCTCATGGCCCGAAGAAAGATCATATTTTTAAGAAACGGGAATCTAATCAGCCTTAGAATAAAGCATATATGAAGATCAAGTGTTATTTCTGCAAAGTGGAAGAACAAGAAGTCTAAGTCTCATGGCTCGAAGAAAGATAAGAGCTTTAAGAAACAAGAATCTGATCAGCCTTAGAAGAAAGCATAAATGAAGAACAAGTGTTATTTCTGCAAGAAGAATGGTCACATGAAGGCTGACTGTCTTAAGTACAAGAGCTGGCTAGAGAAGAAGAATAAGGAACAAAGTAAGACACTAACTCTTGTTTGTTTTATGTCAAATTTAGTTGATGTTCCCAAGAATATTGGTGTTAAAAGATCTTTGATTAAAGAAAGATCTTCACTGTTATGGCATTAAAGGTTATGTCATATTTTTAGAGAAAGAGTTAACATGCTTATAAAAGAATAGACTCTTCCTCCTCTAGATTTTAAAGATCTAGGAACTTGTGTTGTTTGTGTTAGAGGCAAGTTGACCAAGAATAAGAAGAAAGGTTCAATTCGGAGTCAAAATCTTTTTGAGATCATCCACAAAAATATTAGTGGACCCTACTCAACCATCTTATGTGGCAGTAGATATTTCATCACTTTTGTTAATGATTTTTCTCGATATGGCTATGTTTTTCTAATTAAGGAGAAGTCTAATGCTCTTGAAAAATTCAAAATTTTCAAGACTGAAGTAGAAAAACAAACGA